TGGTGCATTTTATTCTTTTCATTTTAGTGTCTTCCTGTTATTTAAAATTCTTACCATGTCTGGTGACCTAAAATGAATTGATCAAAAGTAAGGTGTAGGTAACATACTTTTTTTGGGTCTTTTCCTGTGTACTTTTTCTGCTTATGAATCATAAAATTCAAGGATGTCAAACTTAATGTAATCTATATTCTCTCCAATTAGGTACTTTATCTCTGACATCTAATGATGTAATATAAAAAGTGATGTAAAACAAAACATAAACTCTTTCCCAAACTACTGCACTAGTTTATTAACTGACCTATCCTTTCTACCTTCCATTTGTATAGTAGCTAGCATTATTTAAAGTTTGAATCAAACTTCACTCTTTTTTAAATCACATTTATTTTTAATGGTGTGCAATAACAAAATTTGTATTTGCTGGATACTCTGTGATGCTTGAATACCTGCATATATTGCGTATTGTTTAAATTGAGTCAAACATGTCCATCTCCTTAAACATTTATTATGTCATTAAGGTGTAAACATTCAAAATAATTTCTAGAAATATACTGTATATCATCGTTATTTGCAGTCACTTAGCTATGCAATCACTCCCGTTCTTTTTTTTAAATTTTCATTTATTTGTGTGTGTGTGTGCGCGCGCGTGTGTGTGGCCAGCTCCGCACACCAGGGGGCGGGGCTGGCTGGCCTGTGGTGCTGGGGGATTGAACCGCGGTCCCTGTGCTTTGCCAAGCTTGTTCCAAGTTAGGTGCTTTAGACCACTGAGCCATCTCACCAGCCCCTCACTCCCATTCTTAAAACTTTCTGGTGCAATTTCAATGTAACTAGAGTAAAATCTGTCATCAAGGTGGCTTCTAATGCCAGTCTTGCCTCTGTCTTCTTCCTAAAATCTGCTTTCATACAGCACACAAGACCCCTGCTCTTCCTGTGTTTCACAGGGCTGTCTCAAGTCTGGATCTTTGACTCACACCTGCCTAGAAAGCTCTTCCTCCTGATTCTTACATAGCACCCTTCTCAGCACCGAGCCTGGAACTCCAGGGTCACTATTCAGAGAAACCCTTTCCAAGTATGTTATGCAAATCAGCCTTTCCCTATGCACCACCCACATAGTACCACATTTGTTAACCTACCGTCCTATGAGTAATATCTGAAGTTGCAGTAATTGTTTTGGACGGGCTCAGTGTTAGTGGTAATGGGTTTGCATTGCCCACAGTGATATACCCTTGGGGCCTGTTGCACTGTAGGCTGTTCAGTAATGATGCTAAGTAAGCAGTGATCATTTGACAATGGACCTTGCCTAAGTCACTTGCACTCTCTGAGATTAGATTTACCTGAAGGAAATTGTAATACCTGTTGTATCTAAGTTCCAGGGATCTCATGAAGTCCTCTAAAGACTATAGCAGTTACCTTTGAAGACTTCACAGTGGGAACTGAAATGCAGGCATAAACGATCGGCATTGTGGTGCGAGGATAGTGTGTGGTGTAGGACCTATAGGATATGCATAGATGCTTGTATACATTGATCCTGGCTACAGGGTAGACCTTGGGCTTCTCCAAGTTTCATACATGTGGACAGTGATTGCATCATAAGGCTGCTATACTCACTGCTCCGTTAGCAGCTGACTTTCTCTTAGGCAGGGCCTGGCAGAGACAAAGCACTGGTGGCAGGACTGGAAAGGTGGATTTTCTTCTCGGCTCCCATATACTATAGCACTGGATATGCTAAACACTTCAAAGTGTTAATTCATGTAATTATCATTGAAAAAAACTAGTGAAGAAGATGCTATGATTTATAGATAGGTAGATCATTATAAATATAGAAGAGTATATATGTGTCTAGGTACATAGGTTTTTATTATGTTATGCATACATTTTATAAATTAAGGTGTCATTTTTTTTTCAGTTTTATTTTTCCAAATCACACACATCCTCCCTCTCTCTCTCTCTCTCTCTCTCTCTCTCTCTCTCTCTCTCTCTCTCTCTGTACCGGGGATTGAACTCAGGACATTGTGCTGGTACTGAGCTATCTCCTCAGCCCTTCTACTTCTTTACTTTGGTCACTCATATTGTTAGTTTCCTTTAAAAACTGTCCTAATACTTTTCAACCTAACCTTTAATGAAGCATAAGGAGGAAAGCCGCAGCAGGTAGTTGTGGCGTGAAAAACAGGGCCCTATTGTGAAGGCCCTTTGGACTTTCTGAGACTTTCCACGGTCCTGATATGGCATTAAAAGAAAGCCAGTGTTCTCAGTCTTTTGTGGAGAGAAGTTCTTATGTAAATTGTCCGCTCCCCTACCCGTGCCTGTAGTCAAGATAATGAAAGCCATCCAGGAGCAGACTTGGCAGTGCAGCTTGTATTTTTCCCAGATTTTCTCCTTTGTATATTTTGAAATGAGCAGGCAAATGAATTCCAAACAAAATCTTCTCAGAGCATCAGAAAGCACACAAAAAATAAAGCTTTTAAACCCAGAAACTTCTCAGTGTGTGGAGACAAATGTGTAATTAAATCTGGAAGTTATTTCCTTCTTTTTGTCTTAAAAAAATTTTTTTTTTAGATGCAATGCAAAAAAAGCTCAATTAGTGGTGATAATGAGACTCAGGGAGTAACTGTGCCCTAAACAGAAGAAAAAATGTGTTGCTGTGTGAATAGAATCCTTAGGGAGAACAATTGTAAATTGAAGGCTTTTTTTTCTTTTGCTAGCTAGGCTGGAAATTATAGTTAGAGCACATGAGATACCAGCTTTTAAAGTTAGATGGCTCCAGAAGACGGTTATCTTTGGAGGACGGTGGATCAAGGATGCTTCACCTTTGAGTGTAATTGTGGTTTGTGAGGGTAGTGTCAGTGGCCAGTGTTTTCTAAAGTACAAAGTATGGGCTGAGACTGCTAGGACAGAGAATATTAGAGACAGGGTCATCCGATAGCCCAGCCTTTCCAGCGTTACCGTTTTGTTCCACTTTTAAATGTCTTTTTGTTATCTAGTGATTTCAATATTGAGATGGATCATCTCTTGTCATTTATTCCCAGGGCTCTATTTGGTTACTTTCGAATGTTGGATTGCTTTTGCCCTAGTATTCTCTTGTAGAATGTGTACATTCAGTCAGTTCCCTCAGAACATTCACTTTATTTGAATCTGGATAATCAAATCAAGCTATGTGAATTGGAAGAATTAACAGCAGTGAATTTTTAGTGGCTGCCTTTATAGGTCTTGTTTTTGGAATCTAATAATTTTTCCTTTAACTTTATTGCTGTTATTACTTTTGCAATGGGCAATTCCAACAATATCAGTAGGAAAACATTTCCTCCTGATAATGTCCTTGTGACAGGGACTGTGAGGACTCCTGTGTGCTAAGCTGTCCCTTTAGTTCTTTGTACATGCCTTTGAAACATGTAAATTCAGATTGTGCAGCTGGCTCTGGCATTCACTGTCCAATGACCAGAAATGGTGGCACTGAACTATATTAAGCTCCCTGTGTAAAGTTACAATCTCTTGAACTTTGGATTCTGCAAAATGCATACAATATTTTTTTATTCATCAAAGTAGAATTAGATGGGTTCATGATGAAAACCTATCACTTTAAATTACCTAAAGTACAAGGTTCTTGAGCAGGGCAGTCACTTAACATTTATTCAGCACTGTGCCGGGCACTGCAGGGAGCACAGGAGAAAATAAACTGCTATTGCTCTTCTCAAAGAACATATAATTTTCTTGGGTAGATTAAACCGATACATTGAAAACAGGGAGCACAAACCTGAGTTTGAGGTATGCACAATATTGTAAGTATATTTACTATTTTTTCTGCAGAGAGTATCCAAAGTTCCCATTAGATTTACAAATAATTTGTTTAAAATGGAGATGAAAAAATTTCACAAGTACAGACATACATTAGTACCATGATTATCATTCCAAGTATACTAGAATTTTGGAGGAGAGACATCAGTGTGACCTGCATTAATGTAGAAAAGCACTGTGGCATGTTGGGACCTAAAGAATCTGATATGCAGAGAAGAGGAGCAGCGTTCCAAGCAGAAGCCATGCAGGTCATCTAGTTCTCAGACACAGGACGTGGGACAAATTGAATTTTTCAAGTGTAGAAGCGAAAGTAAATATGTAAAGAAAGAAGGTGTAATACGTAAACTTCAGGTTATGACGGCATAGACAGCTAAGTCGGACACAAGTTAATATGCAGCCAGAATGGCATGCATTGTTCAAGGAAGTCTGCACCAAAGGTGAGGCTCACCAAGACTGTAGTAAGAGGCAAGTCTGAAGAAAGCTGGGCATCAGCATGGAGACTCAGGAGCAAGCCTGGGAGCTTTCTAAGAGATAGACACTAACTTGAAATTGGATGGTAATAAGCACCACCTGGTCCAGTGAGCCTGCTAAGCATCAGATGGTGAGTGGGGAGTGGGTGACCAGGACATCTGGACCCACCCTTCTCCTGGAATGCCTGTGTTCTTTCCATACAGCCTTTCTACGGGAGTCAGTTGCCTACTGGGTCAATGTTAGCCAAGAGTCTATACTTGTAATCTTGTTGGTTGATTGCAGTACAAACGATGTGGTACCCGTGTGATGTTGTTGTTATACAAAGTCCCCTTGAGAAAGAGTCTCAATGGACAGCCACTCAGGATTTCTACTGGAAATTTTGGAGAATTCTTCGTTTTCTTATTTCCAGTAAAACTCTGACTTCCTCCTTTGGTTGGCAACTTCCTTCATTGATATCGTGAGACAGTGAACTCAGTACACCTGGCACCTAATGGGTTGGGAGTTATTTTCCCCATCACAATATGCAACGAGATGCAGATTTTAGTTCTTCTCTTTCAGAAACCCAATTCTTTCACCTTAAAAATCAAATAATAGCATGTCACATCATGAGTTTGAGATCAGATAATGAGTGGAAGTCTATTGGAGAAATCCTGGTTCATGGGAGAAATTTTGTAAAGGTCGCTTCCCATTTAAATTCTAGGTGCAGTGATATTTGTTACAGACCACAGTACATGGGATGGTTTATCTTAGGTTTTAACAGCTGCATTTTGTCTTTGGAGGCTTTTAAAAAGAAAACCGAATTAGGTCCACTTCAAAGTCCACCTCTAATAAAAGGTCAATATTTTTTTTTGTTTTTACTTGTCTTTTTGTTTTTGTTATCCAAACACATTTTTTAAAATGTATAGTTCTGTGTTCCCATGATTCAAATATCAAAAAGGAAGATTCTTCCACTAAATTGCCTTTGTATTACGAGAATGTATTAGTAAAAAAATAACAAAATATATACTGTATAAAAAGTAAAAAAAAAAAAAAAAAAAAAAAAAAGAAACGTAGAAGTCAAGTGCTGACTGGAACTTTTGGAGAAAGATTAATGGAAACTTGCAAAGAAGAGATTGGACTTCAAGGGGTAGTAGAAGAGTTTGAGGACCTTTCACGTTCTTTAACAAGGGAAGAACGTGAGTGATCTTGCCACAGCCTCACGCTCTTTGCATATGTGTGGAGGAAGGCCCAGTTCCTCACGTCACTCAGCCTGCAACTTAGTCATCCCTACTTTAGGGTGCAGTTCTTGTAACTGACTTCTTTAGCATTTCCTGCTTTGCTTTACTTTCCTTACAGCAGCAGAACGTTAGTGGAGCAGCCCGTAAGGGTCTATTTCACTCACCACTCTGTCTCTGCTTAGAAGACAGTGGCATCTCTTAGATATTTAGCACTTATTACGCTAACTGGCATTTATTAGATATTTAACATTTATTTGATGAATAAATAAGTAATGCCTACAATTTTTGACTGATTTTTCTAGAGGATACAAAAAATGGGGAGGGTGAAATCTGGAAACTGTGCTAAATTTCATTTGAATTGTGGGATTTTTTATTTAGGTTTTGACTTTTATTAAAATATAGCTGTCTATAACTGCTTTTAAATTTCTAAACCAGGTCTGGGGATATAGCACAAGTGCCTGACTGGCAAGCTCAAGGTCCTAAGTTTGATTCCTGGTATCCCACAAACAAATAAAGTCTAACCCTCAAACTGAAAATTATTCTTATTTTGGTTGGTTACTTTATATATTATTTCATTAGTTTTTGAGAATCAATCTCCTTAAATTCAATATTTCTTTGAGTAAAACTTGAGTACAAATTACCTATATTTTGTGACCTTTTGGTCTTTTGAGACAGGGTCTTGCTTTGAAGTTCAGGCTGGCCTTGAACTCACTTTGCAGCCCCAGTTGGCCTGGTACTGGCAACAGTCCTCCTGCCTTACCCTTCTCAGTGCTGGGGTTACAGGTGTGTGCCGCCACATTTGTCCTTGCCTTGTAAACTTCAAAATCCATGGTCTATAAAATTAAACTTTCATGTGTATGCATTTCCTTATGTAAGGAAACATAGGTGTATATTATAAATAATTATAATTAAGCTGAATTCTTTTTTGAGGGGAGGAAATTAACAAAGGTTGTTATATTGCATATTGCTATCTTCAAAGTAGTTAGATCACCAGATACAGGCATGCAAAATGGATCAATTGGGACATTAACTGATCCTTTTAATAAACCAATAGAAATTATTAGTACAATTGTCTTAGCTATCTTGTGCATATATACATATCTTATTTTCCTTTCCTTATTTTCTTTTTTCCTCCTCTCCCTGTTTTTTTTTTTCTTTTGAGCAGTGTCTTTCCCTTCCAAAATATGTATTATACCATTTGGATCTCATTTACTCTTTCAGTTTCTTACATTAGGGAGACAATACAACCTCGACACGTGTATGTCTCATTTATATCACCAATGAGTATGGTCTCTGGTTACATCCATTTACCTATGAAAGCCTCAAGTTTATGTTTCTTACAGCTGAGCAGCACTCCACAGAAATACCACATCTTTTTTATTCATTCCTCCTTTGATGGGCATTTGGGTTGTTTCCAAGATTTAGTTATAACAAATTGTGCTGCTATAAATGTGGGTGCACATGTATTGCTGTGATATAAAGTTCTCCGTTCTTCTGGAAAAATACCCAGAAGGGGAATAGCTGGGTTGAATGGGACCTCTAATCCTATTTTTTTTTTTTTTTTTTTTTTTGGGAAATCTCCACATTGATTTCCAAAATGCTTGCAGTCTACATACCACCAGAAGTGGAGAAGTTTCTTTTTACCCACAGCCTTGCCAGTATTTGTTATTGGCTGATTGACTGATGATAGCCATTATTTCTAGGGTAAGGTAGAATCTCGGAATTATTTTAATTTGCATTTCTTGAAGACCAATGATATTTAACATTTTTTCCTATGTTTATGTGCCATTTATATTTCTCTCTGAGAAGTATTTATTCATCTCAGGTGCCAATTTTTGGGTTGGATCTTTGAGTTTTGGGAGCCTGATTTTTTTTTTCAATTTTTTATATGTTCTAGATAGAGCTCCTTTGGTTGAGGGACATCTGGCTGAATTTTTTCCCAGTTTGTGGGTTTTCTTTTTACTTTATTGGTGATTTCTTTTGATGTGCAAAAATTTTTCAATAAAATGAGATTCTGTTGTTGATTCTTTGAAGTATTTGCTGTATAGTTTGGTTTTTGTTTGTGAACTCTCTGCCTTCCCCTTATGTCAAGATTTCTACCTACTTTCTCTTCTAGTAGATTTATTGTTTTTGTTTCAATATTTAGATCTTTGATTCCTTTTTACTTTAGTTTAGTCCTTGCTCAAAAGCTAAATTTTGTTGTTTGCAAAGAAGTCTTTCTTTTTTTTTAAATCCTGCCTCAGGTTTATTTGTACAAAGAGCACAGGAGGATACCAGCTCCTCACAGATGGCAACTCAAGGGTCACACCACTCCTTCTGTTTTCACAAAAGATAAGAGGCTTTTACTGTGGAGCCTTCACAGGGCCTGGGCATTTTTGGGATCCTGGGCCGAAGCAGAAGATGGAGCCTCAGCCTTGTCAGAAGGCTGGGCCTTTGGCTGGCAAAATTTGTGACCCTTGGCAATGCAGGCATGGATGCACTTCCCAAGCTTGGGGTAGGCAATATAGGCAAGTTGAATGAGCCTTCAGTTTATTCCCTTTGGGATGATCTTGGGCTTGACTTCTTTGGGCTTGACGAGGGCCTTGGTAGCCTTGGAGCGTGCACTCATGGCCTTGGCATTGTTAGCCTGCATCTTCTTGAAGCCCTTCTTGTTGTGCTTCTTGGCAAAATGCATCTTTCTAAGGAACTTGGAATCTATCCCTTTCAGAGATTCGTGTCCTTGTGACCAAGATTTTTTGATGGCATTTCTGTGCCATTTTGGGACTGGTTGTGCATGGTGTGGTTCTTGGGTTTGGCCATAACTGCACTGTAAACCACAGCTGCCAAGTGGCTAGAAAGAAATCTCTCTCCTAAGACATTTTAAATGACCAGAAGCTCAGTATGTGAACTCCCACACAGGAGTCTTACAACGTAGGACAGGAAGCACCATTGCCTTATGGATATGGATGAGACTGGACTTCAGAATCAAAATATGAAATAGGTTCAAGGTGCTTTTTCCCACCTCTCCACTAGCATATTATGAATTTGCAAAAATTGGTTTCTTTAGCTGACTGTGTCTCATATGCAGTGGGCAGCCGTGTGTACTTTGCTAGTGTCAACTCCATGTGAAGAGAGGGTGGGATGACATTTGGAGCTGCTGAGGAGGAGTCTGTGCTACAGGGTGGGGGAGCTCACAGGCTGGATCTTTCTGGCAGAGGATGGAGTTACTCCTTTATTCCTACAAGTCCAAAGTGCAAGAATGTTTTGGGAGATCATACTGAAGTAAATTATCTTTTATCTTTGAAAATTACAGAAGGAAATATTGGTTTAAAGTTGTAACAGAAGATATACATCCAAATGACTGATATATTTGAATCAAGGTTAGAAATTGATCTTTTATAAGATAATGTTGAGGTCTTTTATGATGAAACTTAAGTTTGTTCACCTTACTGGTCAAAATTTCTTGAGAAGAACATTTTAATTAATATCCCTATGATTATATTGAAGCATTTAAATTTGTCAAATAATAGGCAGGCTTACTCTGTTCACTTTGAACACTCCACATGTTAAAATGTTGGTAGATAAATACTTAAAAGCATCATTTTTTAAAATAAAATTATTCCTGCTTTTAGTTTCTTCTGACATACCTTGGGTTACTTCTGGCATATCTTCTCAGGGAAATTGTAGACTGAGTTCTGGTGACTTATTTGCTGAACTACATCTATTCTGATTTGTGTACTTTTGAGAATTTTCTATAGCATTCCAATTTCATGTCATTTTAATGTCAGGGCAATGCTGATTAGCAAGAAAAAATGGAATCTTTGCATATTATGGATATTTGTTAGTGCTTATCTTTCACATTTTCAACTTTTTAGTTTTGAAACTAAAAACTTTTAATGGTGACTTTTAATCAGTATTCATCCATTCTATAATTATAATTAATCCCAAAGTAATGTAGTTAACATTTCTATTCAACTGTTGGTCTCTATGTGCTAAGTGGATTCTATGTATTCTGATGTGTTGATCTGTCTTCGTACACTTGTGTTGGGTGTCTCTCTGGGGAATAATGCTTCTTACTGAACTTGAGACTTGCATTTATCAACTTGGTTTGTTTTGATTTTACAGACATATCAAGAAAATTGTGATAATTTTCAGTTAAGGGATTGAAAATGAAAACACTGGATCAGAAAGACATGCCAACAAGAGAAATAGAAAAGAAGGAACATGGTAGACATTTTAGATGAGATAGAATAAAAACGAAGCCTCCAGACTTGAAGTGGTACAAAAAATACAGTTAAACGACAATTGTGGGAAGAGTTAACTGAAAAACACACAAATTATGAAATATTTTTAAACATACTTTTGGTTCTTGGAAGTCCTATGAAACTAAATGTAATCTGTTTTGTTGTTATCAAGGAGGACTTATTTTTTGACTTAGTTCCAAAATGTACTTCAATGGAACTACATTTCTTTTCTTTTTTAAAAATAATTTTATTGAGAAACAGATAGCAATGAGACAGTTGCAAAACTTAGTAGGAGAGTTAGATCAGTAGGAGAGTTTCAATAATTAATACATTGCATATTGTTATCTTCTTAGTGGTTATTCATAGTACAAGATGCTGGCAAGATATCCTGTCCAAACACTATTAGTACAAATCTTTCTTCTCATTGAATTAAGAGAAAGTAGCTGTATATCTATCCTAACTACTTTGTATGTACAGATACAAAATGGTCCTTCATTTATATCCCCTTTTTTGTTTGGTTTTGTCAGAGAAGAGTATTCCTTTGTCATTTAAATATTGTAGGTGCTTGACTTCAGCAAAATAATCCAATACAGTACAGTAGTCCATAATAGTAGTGGGTCATCCGCAGGACTGGCAATGTCAGAAGTTGTTGACCTGAGCCCTTTACAGCCCAGCATATCAACATGGATTCACCCCTTATACTTTGTTTTTTTACCTTTCTGCTGAATGGTTAAGACCAAGGCAAAGCAAGACCTATATAACAAGAAATGTAACTTTTGTTTCTGATGAGGTCACTCAAATTCCCTCAGGATTTATCCTGAAACCCTGTACAGCAGTTTGTAGATCCTTTGTCAGTGTCAGCCATGTGGATGAGTCATGGCCATTGCTTGATCAGTTTGCTCTCTGTGAAAGCCTGAGAGAATGTTTTGTCCCCATGTGACTCTCCTTAGGCACACTCTTCATCATCGATCACATTCCTCCGTGGCCCCATAATTTTCTTGATCAGAAAATTTGAGACGCAACTGAGTTACATGATGTTGCTGTATAGGTTCTCCTATGTCCTGAATTTTCACTGACCTTGGAAGGCTAGGGCCAAATGTTGGCTGTCCTTGCAGCCCTTCTTTTCTCTAATTGTTGGTCTGCAAACTTAGGTTGTTAACCCTCTGGAAGAGAAG